GTGATACGTGCTATAGCAATGCAGCACTAGGCAGACAACAGGAAGCTCAGCTGGGCTGGATGGGTGGAGGAAGGGCAGACCTTGGACGAATATGGTAGGGACAGGTAGATGGAGCCTGTGGGCAGGTGGCCAAGGAGATGCACTGCTGATCAGCTCAAGAAAATGAAAAACCGTACAGTGCTAGGCTTCAGGAGTTTTTTTTTTTTTAATAAAGAAAAATCTGAAATGGAGTTTGTTTTGAGGTTGGTCTTTGTTAACACTCATTGAGGAGGGAGCCAGGAGTCCCAATTCTAGAGTTGTAAACAACCCCAGTATTGGATCTGACTCTTAAAAAGGAAAGATCTACAAATGAAAAAGTTTCTATTTGCTATTCATAGGAGATATGTGTCTGCAGCAGATTCCTCATCTCTAGCATACATGAGTCCAAAGTTCCAGGAGAGGCTGGACACTGTACTGCTTCTTAACATGAATGTGCATATGTTCTCCTGGGAAAATGAAGGTACATTCATCCTTTAGTGGAAACATATCTAAAAGTCAAGCAAACAACATCCTGAGGAGTCGTCCCCCAGGCCCATAAAGAGATTACTCCAAAATACGCACCTCAGCTGTACTAGAACTTCTTACAGGCCATAAATTATGAAGGCAGTTCCTTGGCTTATGTGGCATTGGCCAGGACATGGTGTCTTGGCAAGCACATGGGTTCTGGGAGTGGGATGTTTACCGTTAGTTATGGGATTCTTCAGGGTAATAAGGCAATAGCATAAATCAGGAAGTCGAGCCAGCTTGAAGTATCAGCAGAATAATCACAGCTAGGTACTGATATATTGGCTAATGGTGTGGACTTAATCCTGGGGGCTGTCGGGAGGCTGTGAAGAGGCGCACGGGAGAGTCATAAATATGGCAGTGAGACCCTTGTCCCTGCACATTCCCAAGTGCTGAAGCTTCTGTCAAGTGGAATGTCTGTTGTCAGCACTGTAGAAAGTGGCCAAAAGTTCTACCTGAACCAACCTTTAGAAGGTGGAAAACCTTATTTTAGAGACTGGTCACACGATGTGCACAGTTCTCCTGGCGGAGAAGCTTGCATGTGAATACAGGCTGCACCAGCGAGAGAGAAGGCAGTGCAGACACCAGCAGCTCACGCCTGGGATGCTGGCAAGCGACAGGCTCCAGGCCCTGCTTTATGCCTTCGGTGCAGTGTATCTTCTATCATCTGTCAACTTGCAAAGCACAAGGCTGGTTCACAAAGCATAGTATGTGAAGATTATGCCCAAGTTCAAGTCCTGCCGTGTTACCACGTCAAGTTGGTGTCTCCGGGTATATCTGAGACCTCGTTTAAATATGTTTAAAACTCTGCAGATCGCTTTCACATACACTGGCCTATTTAATTTTCACAATGCTACAGAGTAGTTATTCTGACTTTCCTGAAAATGAAATTGGAACCCAGAAAAGCTGGGTTCCAATTGAAAACCCAAAAGGAACTAGTTCAAGGCCACATAGTGATTAAATCCAGTAATGAGACAGGGCCAAACCCAGGTCTTCTGCTTGTCAGTGCAGAGTGTCACACAGATTGCCTTCCCCAGGGGACCTGGGAATGAGGAGCAGACCCTGCTCTCCCTGCTTTATGTTGTGACAGGAAGCTGCAATCATCTGGACCTGCCCTGGCATGCAGTAAATGGCGTCCGTGAGCTGGATGAAGTGGGTGCCTCTCTCACTTCACGCTCACACTGGTGCCACGTTGATGGACGCCTGGACATGCAGAGCATGCGGGCCCGCCAGCCCCCACCCCCAACCTGTCACTGCACACAGCCCAAGTTCATTAAACCCAGATTATTTAATGATAGTTAATAAGATAAACTTCCTCCTAGAAGCCAATAGGAGTTGACACTTCGTCTCTTAACTGGTACTCAGGAGCTGATGTGGCACTTTCCGCCAGCCAGAGCAGGTCTTTAAAGCTCTTAACAATAATAGGTATATACACTTCCCTGAAAAGGGATGATGTACACATGTGATTTCTAAAAACAGGTTAACCCCTCAGCATCCACTGAAAGCACAGTGGATTTTCCAGCATTTGGCTACAAAGAGGTTCATCCGGGTCGAGGTCTGTCTGAGGCCCGGGGTCATAGGACATTTGTCAGGGTTGTATCCAAAAGCCAAAATCCCTCTGATCCTGTATATTCTAGAAAGGACCTAACTTCCTACGGTGGTTTACAGAAGGAAAGAACTTGGATATGGAGAATCTTTCCTCTTGAGGAACTTGATTTTCAGTAACTTTGTAGGGCCTCACTAGGAATAGATCACAGTTCCTACACACAGTCACCTCTGTCCCCAGCCAAGGAGAGTTTTACACGGACACTGACCTCAGACTCTAATCTGCCTTCGTGCTTCCTGGAGCCACCAGAGAGTGAACACGGCCACCCGAAGCAGCTGCAGATGGAATGTTTATGGCTTAGCTTATCCCATGCGTTGGTGCGGGGAGGAGGCCCCTGAGGATTTTGGAAGATTTTTAAAGCATTAAGAGACATATTCCTTGCTGAAAACTCTTCCCTTGACTCTAAAAAAACCCACAAAACAGAAAAAAGAATTTATCAAAATTAATAGCTGCTGGGATGAATATAAATACACGTTATATCATGTTTATTTTAATATTATTTATAGAATGCGCTTGTCCTAATCTTTATAGCAATGTTTTAAAATATGTCCTTGAGCTGCATTTGTCAGAGTAGGGATAAGATCTGGCATAATCCATGAATTAGTGACTATGACTTAATTGTATCAGTTGCTGTGTATAATGACACAAAGAAATAAGAGGTCTGGTAAGTTTGTGCTTTAACACAAATCCAGAGACATGCGTGACAGCCTGAGAAACCCTGTAGCATTTTCCAGCTTCCTAATGGGGAATGAAAAACCAAACCTGTGAGTCAAAAGTAGAACTGCCCTGTCTCTGAATTTGTACTGAAATACACTGTTTAGCTTTTTTATTGTGCTAAATATTTTTTTCTATTTAGTTTTTATTGTATCCATTTGTATCTGTTTTGTTTTTTAAAATGTGTGACTATGATTCCTACAGGAATAAACAGCTTTGCTGTCACAGACCTGAAATTACCTCGCCCTTTTTTTTTCTTTGAAACTGGCTTTTAAAGTGGATTGATAGTAATCCAAGATTTCTTAGCAAGACAGCCACTATATAAAAACAAAACAGGCTAAAAATTTAATATTGACAGGTATGTCTCAGAAATGTAGAAATTGATAGGGAATTCTTAGACTGGCTAAAGTAAAAGGTTAAAATAAGAGAGAATAAGGTATGCCCACAGAATGGGAAGTGTCACACCTTTTACAGATATAAACTAGGTCTTATTGGAAGGCGTATGCCCAAGTAATCCAGAAGCTACAGATTATCTTCTTTCATGACATTCATGTGTTTGCATGTTGATGTCATCTTTTTCATGTTTCTATGCCGAGGCCTATCATCTCATTGAGTACTTATTTTACTCCATTAATTTAAAAAGGATTTTGTTGAATGAATTCAACAAATTATTCCTTTGTTCTTGTTGAATGAATATGCCAAAAATTATTCACCAATTTGTCATCAAAGCCTCTCCTCAAATGAGTCCTGAAATGGTCGAACAGCTGTTTTAATTTCCATGAGTATTGATAAATATATGACCAAAAAAATTGGAGGGAAGAAAATTAGAAGATATATTTCAGGGCACATGGCGATCATTCTAATTTTTCAGTTAAAAATGCCCTCATATTCTAAGACTTTGTAAGCTGGATCAGTGCCAAAAGTGCTTCTTATGACTAAGCTGTAAACCAGTGGAAAATAGGATTTATGAACTCTGAGTTTGTTGATGCCACTTCTGTTGCTCCCCTCACACACTGCAGTTGTCAAATGTTTTGATGTAGTTAGCATTACATTTCTGCTTTCTCTTGGAGAAAAAAATAATGCCTGTGTTGTGGGACAGTGTGCTTACTGATGGGGAAAGACCTATCATGAAGAAGAATATGGTAATTGGTCCACACTTGCCAAGGAAAGAAGTCACTGATGTCCAGGGCATTACAGGTTCAAAGGGAAGAGATGCTCCCTTAGGCTACTGCTAGTCCATTTAGGACATTACCACTTCTGTTATGGGTTAGTTTTAATTCAGGTCTCCTTTCCAAGAGTGCTGCTACCATTTAAACTCTTGTGAGGTTGGAAGGGGCCCAATTGCACTTGAAACACCCAGGCCCATGGCAAAGAGCACCTCCTTCGGAGGACCCGTATCTGCCTTCCCCACTGCTCTGAGCTCACTCACTTGGGCCCTGGGTTCTGCCTTAATCAGTTAATCTGCTTTCCAGGATTTCCCTTTTAAAAGGCTAACCTTTCATCTTTCTGTGCTGTGAACATCAAACAGAAAGGAAGCCTTCCTTTGCCAAGGATAATTCTACTATTTTTGATAGCTGCTAGGGCACACTTACAGCTAATCAATAAAATAGCAGGTTGCAGGAAGAATTAGGAAACAATGTGAGTTGCACCCTCACAATTTAGTCATATTTTTCTTCAGAAATGTCTTTTTTTCCCCTGCTTTGAAACGATAGGTAACTTCTTCTGTAGCCTGCCCTCAAGTCTCTCAGGGTGGAGACAGGCTACCTAAGAAATCTAAACCCAAGTGATTTGCATGCAGCTGCCTGTCAAGTGCAGAATACCAGTCCGACAAGCTAGCAGAGGCTTTGCATGTGATCTTCCTTCAGCTGAAGTTGGTCCAAGTGCAACTTTAACATACTGTAGCCGTAAAGAGGAATTTTATTTACTGTTTGCACCTAACTGGCTTTGATCTGACATTGAGCTTTGAGCAGATGGAGGACCGTGTGACTGACCTTGTGTGGGTGCTTTTGCTCGTGAGTGTCTCCTTTCTCAGCACAGAGACTGTGGGGTCAAGCTCTTGAAGTATCCCTGTGCTTGCTGAAATTTAGGGTGACTCCTTTTGTGTACTGACTGTGCATGTTCCCTCTCTTTGTCACAGGTGGACTGTGCCCAGGGTCCAATGATCCTTGTGTGGAGAAGCCGTGCCCAGGGGACATGCAGTGCATCGGCTATGAAGCCAGCAGGAGACTGTTTCTCTGCCAGTGTCCACCAGGGAAGCTCGGAGAGTGTTCAGGTGCAGAGTGGCATGGGTTAACAAGGGTCCACTTTCCTATTTGTGAAACACTAGTAAATCCTGTGCCCAGGCCATTCCAGAAGACGTTTGTGTCTGCGTATAACATCTTCCTTCAGAACAGAGCCAGGGATTGATCACAGCTGCAGGATGGACTAAGGACACATGTGCAGACTGGACTCCTGATACACAGAGAACATAGCGTGTGTTCTTGGTCATACTGTGTGGCAATTACAGGGGTGAAATGGTGGAAAGTATAGAACTGTTGGTTTAGGAAAGCAGGCAGAGTGTCTGGAGTATGGTTTTTGATATTCACAGGGCTACACAAATCCATAGCCACAAAACAGATCAACAGAGGTAGAGCCAAGCAAATAATGGCGGCCTTCTAGAATTGACCAACCCAAAGCACCCAGTAAACTGACTCTACACTGGAAATGTACAACTGATGGCATGTTCCAGGAGGAATAGGCGCTTACCTCTGTACTATAAGGGAAGATAATATTTATATTATCTTGACTCAAGCAGCCCTCTATTTCTGATATTCACTGAATTTCTGCTGATTCACATATTCTCTGCTACTTCTTTCCTCTAAAAAGAGTATTCATGTTTGGTACCAACTGAATTCTCTTTTTGTTGTAAGGTGTATTTAAAATATAGATATGGGCTGGGGAGATAGCTCAGCAGCTTCCCAAGTTTGATCCCTAGTACCACAAAATAAAAGAAAAAGAAAAAATAATATACAGACACATTGGTAGCTGTCTTGAACTCCAAATAGTATTTATTATGATGACAACAATAGTAACTGTAGGGAAAATTAAAAATAATTATGTCTGATGTGCAAGATACTTTGCTACACCTTGAGTTTTAGGAATGGAGCCCTTGCCATGAGAAGTATTTTCTTGAAAATGAAAACAAAAATTCCTTCAAAGTTGATGTTAAGAGTAGTATGGCCCATGAAGTGAATGGATGCTTACCTAAATCATCCAAGGTTTATGCTTAAAATACAATTATTCTTCCCCTGCCCCAACACACAGGCCATACACACAGCAAGTGGGTATGTGAATACCATATAGCCGCATCTTACTCCTTTTGGTGTCATTTTATACCCACCTCCTTTATATTTTCTATATAGGAAACTTGTAAATTTCCATGGTAATTATCCATTTGGTATATTTCTGTATTTTCCACTTTCACCCCAGCAAGGCAGCTTTTCAACAATTATTTTGCTTGTTAAAATATAGTTATAGGTAATAAAAATGATGAATGCAGAATTGGGCAATGATCGAGTAGACTAAAGATTCTGGGAAGGAGAGCCTTGAAATTCATGGTCAGGAAATGAAACTGTAACAGCACAGATATTCCCTTTATATCAGTTACCTTTTTTCATCATTAGTGTAAATGACATAAGTGGGCTATTTGGTACGAGGTTACTTGAGGAATAGGACTATATTTAAAAATAAAGGTTTCATTGTCTTGTCTTTGGTTTCATAGGATCTCAACTTCTTGAGTCCCTAATAAGTAAAAGGAATTGGTGGGGTAGGTGTGGAGTGGGGGAGGATTAGGAGTTTTCTTTTAATAATGCTAATTTTAGAAAGTGGTATTTGAGGATTAGTGATACTAAAACATTCCAGGTTATAGAATTTACCAATTACTCATATATTTTGGGTAACTAGCTAGTTAATAATTATTTCATTTTGAAGTTAGAATGTGATGTGAAGTGGAGAATGTTTTTAATGAAAACAGGTTTCTCCTCAATGCTTTTGCTAAATTAGCTCCCTCTTTAATCAACTTGCTTGGTGGTAGCTGGGTGGTGGCATGTGCTCCTGCTCATTTCTGGATGTTAAAATTGCTGTTTTCTTGTCATGGTCTTTTCAGGACACACTTCTCTTAGCTTTGCTGGAAACAGTTATATCAAATATCGTCTTTCCGAAAATAGCAAAGAAGAAGACTTCAAGTTAGCTCTCCGCCTGAGAACCCTGCAAAGCAACGGAATTATAATGTACACCAGAGCAAATCCCTGCATCATTCTGAAGGTATGTGAAGTGAACTATCTGTTCCAGCCTTCAGTTTTCATGTGAATGTTTGGCCTTTGGATAGAGAACTGCTGATGTTGTTTTATCTTTTGAATTTAGAAAACCATAATAGACTTCAGGGCAAGGGAGGAGCATCAACAGACCCAGGAAATGTGCCAGTGTTCCATTTCTTTTTCTTTTTCTTTTTTTTTTAAAAAATATTTATTTATTCATTTATTTATTTATTTATTGGCATCAGTTATTTTTATTTTAAAGAAAGAAAAAATAATAAAAACAGTGGTACAAAAATCTCAAAACAAGATTTTAGGAGAGTAACAATGGTTAGTACATTGTGTATTGTTATTGCCAAAGTAATTTCTCACATTACAAGATATAGGCAAGAAATAATAAGCAAATAACATAGGTACAATCCATTTCTTTTTCGTATTTGGCTTTAACATTGACTCCTGGTAGGCTGGGGCATCTTGCTATACAGAGCAGTGCTGAGGACAGGCCTTCTGTGAGCTATAATCGTTCACAGTTGGTTGGAATGCATCTCCTGGGGATGGCACAGCTGTGAGAGGAGTGCAAGGCCTGCCTCTCCCTTGCTCCCTCCACTGGTGGGACTTAGGGCTCAGAGACCTATGGGAACACCAGTGACACAGCAGGACCCTAGCTAAAGCACACATGATGGACAGATGGAACTGGAGACATGGAAATATCCCATGCAACCTTAGCAATACAAACAAACAGGTGATTTCTTTTTTTTTAATTATTAATTTTATTGAGAAACAAATAGCAATGAGACAGTTTCAAAACAGGTTAGTAGGACAGTTACAATAATTAATACATTGGATATTGTTGTCTTCGTAGAGTTATTCATAGTACAAGGTGCAGACATGATATCCAGTCCAAACACTGTTAGTACAAATCTTCCTTCTCACTGAATTAAGAGAAAGTAGCTGTATATCTATCCTATTTTATGTATATATTTCACTACAAAATGGTCCTTCATATATCCCACCTTTTTTGTTTTGTTTTGTCAGAGATGGGTATTCCATTTAGATATTGTAGGTGCATGAATTCAGCAAAATTATCCAATATAGTCCAGTAGTCCATGATAGTAGTGGGTTATTCATAGCACTGGAAATGTCAGAAGTTAACAGCTGATTTCTAACCTTTCTTTTTATTTGATTCTATTTGTCTTCTTCCTCTCTTTTGTCCACTACATTGCTTAAATCTATAATACTTTCATGTGATTAACCATCTCTTCTCCTTCTGGTATACTTCACCACTCCTGGGCCTTTTCCTCCATTCTTTCCAGGCAAGCGCTTATTCTACTGAGCCATCTCCCCGGCCCTTCCTCCATTCTTTCCCTCTTATGTCCTACAATTACCCAAAACCTGGATGATAACCTGGTACCCTCCAACCTTGCTCCTACTATATTCAATCTTTCTCATCTCTCATCCTACTGCTATCCTCTTGAAGCCCCTTCGCACAACAGGATAAAATCATTCCACTAAGTGGAAAATAATTGCATACAAGTTCCTTGCATAAATTGGATTATATAATATTTCTATAGATCTATCTCCTACAGTTACAGATATCAGGCTAATAGTTACCTCAGTTCATCAGTAGCCAGACTGTACTTGAGTCTATTGCTGCCAAGTAAACCACTTTAGCAAGGATGTCATAATGCTATGACCAGTTTTTTCTACCTGAATGACAGCATTTAAATTATAAGGGGTCATAAACATCACCATAGTTCAGTATCAAAGAAATGGTCCTAGGTCAAATTGATGGAACTCTTCAGACATATATATATATAAATATATATATATATATATTGGGAAGCTAGGTTCTTGGGATAGATATAAAGACTAAGAATCGCCTATATCTAGAAGACATCCAGAAGAACAGAAACTGCCTAAGGAAGCCTGGACACCAACGGAAAGTCTATCTAACATAAGAAATCTACAAGTATCAACACAGAAAATAAAACAAAATAGAAAGTAGAAAATGGCAAAATGAAGAAGCAACATGCTCCCAAATGCCCTGCCCACCCAGGAGAAGCCCACAGCAGAGAGACAGAGGAAATTGGTAGCCAACAAATGAAACCCTCTTAAATTATAGCAGCAGAAGTGAAACAAATGGAAGAGGCCATAGGAAAAATAATCTCTAAGGTATAAATAGAAATGACTTTCCAAGTAAAGTACATTAAAGCAGATAGATAGAAATAAACAAACAAGAGCTCAGGAAAAGGGTAGAAACTATGACTGCCAAATATAGACAAGAAATAGAATCAATGAAACACAAAGAATGAAAGGCAGATTAGAAACTCCACTGAAAGGCCGGGGAGATGGCTCAGTGGAATAAGCGCTTCCCTGGCAAGCGCAAGGGCCTGAGTTCAAGCCCTGGCTCCACAAAAAAGAAACTCCACTGAAAGTAGATTAAATGAAAGTGTGACTAAACTATCAGATTTAGTATATAGGAACGTGACTAGTGAAAGGAAAGATGACTTAAAAATAGCAAGAGAGCATAAAAATCAACAGCTACAGGATGAAGCAAAGAATAACAACATAAGATTGACTGGAATCAGTCAGAAAGTTAGAAATAGCACAAAAGCCATTAAAAATCTTTCCACAGAAGTAATGGCAGAAAATTTCCCAAACACGGATAAAAACATTGATGTACAAATAAATATACTGTATAGAACTCCAGATAGTCATGATTAAATCAGATCTACACCAAGGCATATAATAATCAAGATTCCAGAAATTCAGCACAAGAACAAAATGTAAAAGGCAGCTAGATAAAAGAAACAGACCTATAAGGAAAACCCATCAAAATCACAGGAGACTTCTTAACACAAACCCTCCAACCAAGGAGAACTTGGGGTAAGTTATTTCAATCCCTACAGGAAAATAATCTTCAACCCAAATTGATGAACCCCACAAAACTATCTTTCAAAATTGATAGAGAAAGAAGATACTTCCATGACAAAAAACAGCTGAACAAACCAGCTCTATAGACTGCTCTGAAGAACATATTAGAAAGAGATAATGAAGACCACAAATACATGAACAACAACAGAAAGTAGCAGCCAGGCAGGGTAAGCAATTAAATGGACAAGAAAGATAGGAAACAAACCACAAGAAAACTGGACTGGGGAAATAGCTCAGTAGAATAAGTGCATGCCTGGCAATTGCAAGGGCTTGAGTTCAACTCCTGGTTCTGCCAAAATAAATAAATAAATAAATAAACAACAAGAAAACAGCACGAAAAAGATAAGCAAATATATATATATAATAACCATCCATGTAAATGTTCTCAACTCACCAATAAACAGGCTTGCAGAATGGATTAAACAGCAAGGTGCAACAATATGCTGCATTTAAGAAACACATTTAACACAAAAAGAAATTCATGGACTAAAAGTCAAAGGATGGAAAATAATTCTCCATGCCATAGTAACCTAGAAAGAGCTACCGAGGGGTAGCTATTCTATTTGCAGACAATGCAAACTTTAGGCCCAAACTGATCAAAAGTGATAAAGAAGGTCACGGAGATGAGCACACGCTTCTCACATGAAGAAATACAAATGGCAAATACATTAAAAAAATGTACAGCATTGTTGGTCATTCTAGAAATGCAAATTAAAACAGTGCTGAGATTATATTTCCAGAAAGAATGACTGTTTTCAAGAAACCAACCAATAACAAATGCTGGAGAGGCTGTAGGGGGAAAGGAACCCTAATCCACTATTGTTAAAGGTATAGACTGGTGCAACCACTGTTGAAATTGGTATGGCAATTTCTTAAAAACAAAACAAAAAACCCCAGGATTAGAGATCCCGTTCAACCCAGCTATTTCCCTCTGAGTGTCTTCCCAGAAGAATTAAAACCATCATAGCATAGTGATATGTGTGCACCCATATTTATAGCAGTACAATTTGTCATAGCTAACTCTTGGAAACAACCTAAATACCCATGAACCAAGGAATGGATAAAAAATGATGTGCTGGTTTTTTGTACAATGGAGTGATACTCAGCCATAAAGAATGATAAACTAGAGACTATTTTTTGGCAGGAGGTACTAGGAATAGAACTCCAAGGACCTTGTGCTTTCCAGGCTGGTACTTGTGCCACTGAGCTATATTCCTGGGGCCCTGGAGGTTTTTGTAGGTGAATGGATGCAACTTGTAAGTGGAATAAATCAGATTCATAAACACTGTCGTCTCACTCGTGTGAGAAACTGAATGAGTTAAAAGTCCAAACATACAACAGATATTGTGAATTGTAAAGAAACTGTTTAAAAGACAAACTGTGATGTGGAAAGACAAAAGGGAGAAAAGGGCAAAAAAAATTGTACACAAAATAGTTATATAGCTACTTTCTCTTAGTTCATGGAAAAGAAAGGCTTATGGTTATATGATTTGGACACAATATCAGCCTGTATCTTGTACTCTGAATAACTACCACAAGGATGGTACACAATTTATTAATTATTATAATTGTTCTGTTTTGAAACTATTTTCTTGAAAATAAAAAAGAATGTGTCCCATAATCAATCCCACAGCAGGCATGGTCTCTCTAAAGGGTTGACTCTCTGCTGTCCTACCACACACGGCTGTCCCCTCTCACCTGGAAAGGCAACTTCTTGCCCAGGGAGGAAGTTGGAGATTTGGGGAAGAGAAGGTTCCACATATCATGACTCAAATCATCAAATTTTAAAATTTTTTCCCCAGTCTCAGAACTCCTCCTAAGATGGCCATATTTCCTTTAGAGAAAATCCAGCAATTGTGTTCAGCTCAGGGTTTTCAGTGCCTTTATGAGGGACAATAATAATATCAATAGTTTTATGTGCATCCCTTGTTAAATTTTAAAGTCGCTGTGATACATTCATTATAGATTAGCACCATGATTTGATCAGGAAAAGCATAGCACTTCAGAGAGGCCAGTTATCTATCCAAGACCGCACAGCTAGTAAGTGGTAAGGCCCAGACCACGCTCTCGTCTCTC